GGGCCGGTTACTGGTAACAAATAGGTTGACTCCATTTGTGGCGGATTGTCCAAAGGAAAGGTACAGTTGAATCTGGTCTTGGATGAAAGGTACAGCTGAATGTAGTTGTAAGCAGCAAACTACGTCTCGAAAAATACTCAGCTGGACTTTGAAATGTGGTAACTCATACATCGTGAAGACGAAACCAAATGCGGCTATTACAGCTATTCCAATATAAATTAATGCAATAAAAAGGACGATATTCAAGGTATTGATTATGGATATCTCCATATAAATGAGTACTTCAGAAACCATCAAGCGATGTAGTACAAAAAACATGGAAGGCGTGCTTTCTACCGGACTATGTCCCAGTGTAGGTCCCTGATAAAAAAAATACGGAAATAATATCTATCCAGAAACATAAGAAGGAGATTCGTGAAAGAACCTGAGAAAATTATTGAATAAAAACTCACCTATTAAGGGATGACAAAACTAACACTAGCCTTCACACGAAAAGATGTGACTCTTGCGGCTTTTCAAACAGAAAGGAACGAACTTGCAAAATGGCTATTCAAAGTTCCAGAAAGGCACAAAAAATTATCTGCGTTATTTTGAATTTTGAAATAAATTTAAACAAAATTTGAAATAATAGCTTTTGATTGGTTAAAATAAAAATTTGTATACAAACGAACGAATGTACGCAATAACAGTTCTAACTAAGGCCACTCAGTAACAAATGACATGCATTCACGAAGTAGTGCAATTTATCAAACTAACAAAAAGAAGAACTGAAGAAGTGACATAACCTAACTATTCGAATCAAACAATATAAACAATAATTAGATATTATAAAAAGAATGCTACCAGAATTGAATTATATGCACAACAAAACAATTATAGATGGTAATGTATTGTAAAGTGATTAAACAAAGTTATTTTATTGTGATTTATGTTTCAGAGCTTAATCTAAATACTATTGAACAATTTTTAGTATATAATAGTTATCAAATCAAATACATGAAATTGTCTTTGAGAAACATTCCACAGAAGTGAAATACTTTAGTAGTTACGACTCAAGCTAATTGTTTTATATTAACAGTAATGAAAAGGTTAGTACATGTAAATACATTCTTTGTAGATTTAAATAAAATATTCTTGTGAAAATATAAATGCTACATACTTACCGTTTTCAATGACACAATACCTTTATTGTTGATATAACGGGAGGATTGCTTAACAAAACAAAAAACTTTGTAGATTCATTCGATGAATTTCTCGCTAAACCATCTATACAACACGTTCTTAACGCGTAAAATGCTTATTCGACTTTATTTTTTTTGAATGTTTATTATTATTAGGTTTAGTCATCGGTACACTTTGTTTTTGAATTTTCAATATAGATGTGATCTTTACGACATATAAACAAAGACTGAAGCAAAGTGTTGAGATGAGGGGATTGGTGGAGAAGGGAATATATCAAATAGTTCCAGCTTGTTACAGGATAAAAGAAATTATAGGATTTTTAGGATTAATAGGATATATTTAGGACTCATTTAACATAAACTGCATTTCTAAAACCTAAAATAAATGCTACTTACAATAAATTTAGTGAATTATTTAAATTTTATCATTTGTTTACTTCCATTAAAATTTCCTTACTATTTCAAACTTGAGAATCCATGTAGATTTCAAACTTGAGAATCCATATAGATTTCAAATTGGGAATCCATGTAGAATTTATCTAGAAGGAAAGAGGACATAAGTATCTTAATAATAAACAATTTTTACTATTTAATACATTTCAAAACAACTTAAAATCATTTCAAAAGGTAACCAAATTATTGAATTAGTTTTGTTTACATTTTCATAATATCTACATGTCATAAGTCACAAAAGTCGATTTTAATGAATGACAATTAGAATGAATGATTAGTAGTATGAATTAAGTAATCATTCATTCATCTACCAGTTCTAAGAAATGTACTAGAACTAGACTTTTAATTAAAATGTTTTGTCTTTGTCTACCAACTAGATTAGACATAAGTTAATCTCTTTTCAAGTATTAGAACTTATAAACTAACAAACTATTCAATAATTTGGAGGGTCTTATCAAAAGGGAATATGCCATTTTGTTCTTCTTGTGAGAGCTTTCGTTAAGAACAAGTGACTCAACATTTTTGTGGATTTTTCCAAAAGTTCTTCGATTCAAGCGATTGCGAATTGTTCTATTAAATAGAAATTCATCAACCAAGGGTTGGATTTAGTCTCGCGAAGTGAAAAACTACCGAAAACTTTTGATCAGGAGACCCTGAGCAAATTTATTACTCTTAAAGGCCACACCCCATCAAAGGTACTTTAAATAAAAACTTATTATTAATTATATATAAAGATACTTACGTTTCTCTCTCTTTCAGGCCTTTTTTCTTTTTCTTCTTATTCGTTTTCTATATTTTACGTTTCCTCTTATTTCTACAAATTGTACGTAACTTCCGACGTTATATTCCTCTGTAAACGTCACCATCGCAGACATCTTCATCCAGACCACCCATGGGGAATCACTGACTGGTCTAATACGTCCCTAGTCTCAACCCCTTGCGATCGATCCAAATCCAGACACTAGCCAGAATCATCGACTGGTCTCATACCGGAGGTATACCTAGTCTCATCCCCTAACTTGCTATACAAGGTAACCATTCTATGCTTTATTAATCGGGATTCCGGACTGTGTTATTGGACATTTAAACCTGAAACCGAGTGATATATATTTTGAGAAATATTAGGCTACTCGAATTTGTACATATAGATTTAGTTGTAAATTTTTATCAAGCTAATTAGTTCATAGTATAAACTTACCATATCTTAACAAGACATTGAATTTGTCCGATTATTTCCAGCATTCGGCGTGGAATACATTTTTTTTGTAAAACATTTTATTACGAATCACATTTTGTTCGCCGAAAAATATGCATATTTAAGGTCCATCTAAAATTAATAAATCTAATATTATAACATAGCGGTACTAATAATCTAGAATTACCTCATGTTTTAATAGTCCATATTGAGATTATTCAGCTTTGAAAACAATTTGTAAAATATTTGTGACATTAACTTCTTTTTGTAACATAACCTCATTTCTACCACCTGGCAGATTAAAATAAAAAGAAGAGAATCAGACTATCCCGGTCCTAGAATTCTTCAGAAATAAAGCCACGTAAAAGGTAATCGATTAGTTTTTTTTATTGTAATCATCCCCTTAAGTACCCAACCCCTGAGAAACAATCAACATCGCCTTATTATAGGTCAGATACACTTTTCATCATTTTTTAAATTAAAACCTTCTGTTCATGTATCAAGCTTTCAACTATGTGGTCGAATCGAAGCATATACAGGGGGCGACATATATTTTATTTACGAGACGAGGCAGAAATATAATTTAATACGCATGCACAGATGTCACGTTCATAACATCACTTCAAATCTCTAGTATATATTTGTTCAAAACAGAGCTAAATAATAATTTATCCAAAGCGAGTGACATGTTTCAATAATTATATCTAACAGTAAAATATACTTATATGTATACGGGGCAGCGAAAAAAGTCTATCACCAAGGTGTTTTCTTTGAAACAAATAAATGTATAATTACAAAATTGTTTTTTCTTAAATGAGGTACTTTTAAGTATTCTTAAAAAGAACAAAAAATAAGCCTTTCTCTGATCACTCGACTTGCATTGGAATTGAAAAAAATTCAAAAAGCGACGTACGCTAACCGCTAACGTCACCTAAATTTGGGCGCACTCGAATTCCGCTACCGGTTAAGTGTATCACTAAGTAGGCATCCGAACACCGCTATGGAATCCCAAAACATATTTTAATAAAATAATCATCTACCTGAACTCCGCTACGGTCAACATTCAGAACAATAAAATGAAAATACTACGATTTTACAAAATTTTTATTTTATTAAAGAAATACAATTATAATATAAGTGATGTGGCCGTTATAAAAAAAATTACAAATACGTAAATCAAGTCTAACTGAACTGATTCAACAAAAAAAGTATACATTTGAAATTTCCCAATATTACGGTACTACAACAGAAGATAATTTATATGATACACATTTTATAAATTCTAGACAAGTTATTTTATTTTGAAGGTAATGATCGATTTTGTCCTGAATACATCGTTGTTTTAACAATATTTTTTACGAATGGGTCGTGCTTCATTTATTTTGGCAGTGTTAATTTTAATATACGTGTCCGTCTGCATATTTGTCACTGCTGCTATAAAAATGTGTATGTTTGGGTATGTATGGCCACAATACGAATTAAATTTTGAGTGAAATGATTCATAGCTATTTGTTGTTCAACTTCTGCTAGTTTTTCTTTAATCTTCTCACTTCTTTCTTTCATTCTTTTGATCATAATGTTCTGTTCCATTTTATCCATCTTCTTGATAATGTCTTGTTTTATTTATTCTTTGTCTTCTTTTCTATTCTGATCCATTTTTTCCATACTTTGTTATATTTCTTCTATTTTATTCATTTGTCCCTTTATTGCTACTAACATTTCCTGAACATTTTTTTGTTCAGTCTGTTTTGTTGCAGATTTTTCTTTTTATATTTTATTGCTTATTCCGGTTTCTTCTTCTATTTCCTCTACATCTTCATAGTTTTTTTTTTTCAATTTTTGTTTCTTCTACATTTTGTACTTGGCAATCTTTAGTATCTCCTTGTCCTTCATCTTCTTTAACCTTTTCTTCTTCTAGTTGTCTAATTTTCTTTTCTCTTCTTAGTTCCATTTTCTCATCCATAGTATTTTATTTGATGTTTAAAACTTTTGTACTATTTAAATTTGCCTGTCAATTTAACAACTTTTATTGCCCACGTTTTCACTTTACTACCCCACTTTTTTTTACTGTACTGCTTCACTTTTTCCACTTTACTGCCCCACTACCTACTTCTTACCTAACTTTTAATAAATTTTAAATAAATATATTATGTTTTTATATTTACCTTCAGCTAGCCTTATTATCTTCTTGCTTAAGAGATTTAATTTCGAGCACAAGATCTTCTAATCTCAAGGTGAGTTCAGGTAAGTTTTAAACACTATTTAACTTTTGTTTATTTATGATTGTTTTTTTTTATTTATACTTTTATTTCAAATTATCTTAATTGATTTTAATTTTATGTTGGTTTCATTATTTTATTTTATTCGATTAGTAATTTATTAATCACAGATTAATTAGTAAATTAAGTAATCATATCCATAAATCCCTTCTATAATCGATTCTTTATTATAAGATTTACTAGTTGTCATTCAATTATTTTTTTTAGAATTTATCCAAACAATTAAATAAAGAGATTTTTAAAACAATATGACATTATTTATAAACAAATGGATTGATTTTATCAATCTAACATTAACAATTCATTGAACTTGTTGATCAATCTAAATAAACTCAAATCAATGGTTTCCCAAACACCAACTCATACTAATTATTAAAGATAAGTCGACTAATCGATTCAAAATCGATTATTTAATATTAAGAAGAATTCTTATAATAGAAAGTTATTTCAAATTCAATTTAACTTATTCACTATTATTTATTTCTCTTATTTTGACATCTAAGCATGCGCAGATCGTTTATGTTCTAAAACTGACTTTATTAAAGATTGTGCTTGTCCCTAATTATGAATGTTTAAAGGCAGCAGGTTGTGGCGATTTTATAGCTTTCGGGTGCGCTCGCCGACATTCGTATTTGTTCGACGTTTTTTAATATTAAATATTTAATATAATTGTCATCTAAACCTTTTAAAATTATAATTTCTAATGGCTCTTCAATATTATGTACTATTATCGACAACAAAAAAGATGAACTATAATTTAAAGTTATTAAAATGAGGTTAGAAATAAGTATAAGGACACAAGGATTAGAATGTCAAAATTTCAGATTTGCAATAACTCTGATTTTAGCATGGAATTTATTTGACTCTAATTCCGAAGTCACTTTTATTGGCTGGGGTTATAAAAATTTGCAATAGTTCTTTTTAAGTGTCTGTGGGCTAATAGGATCTATAGTTTTTTATCTTTAGAAAAACTAATACACGGTCTGGAATATACCCAGTGTTGCCAGAGTCACTACAATTGTAGTAGATTTACTACAATTTAATGGTTCTAGTACGTTACTACACTTTTTTAGTATCTGCTACATTTTTAATATTTCTACTACAATCTACTACATTTACATATTAGGTCAATTTACCTTTATACTTCCAAGAAACCCAATTTCTGTTATTTTCTTCGCAAAAGAACGTTGGCGCAATATCCAGCCATGCCTGTGTCCGACGACTATTCGGCGTGGCAATGACGGACAACGGCAACTGCAAGTTTGAGCGTTGGTAGGTTGAGAGAAGCCGCGCGTCGAAATTAGTATATATAGAGTCACTTCGAGTTGCAACTTGCGTTATTATTTAGTTTTTGGTCTTTATAAATATTTGTGTATTTTTTTGTAATGGACAGGTACGTATCCACCCAAGCATTAAGTAGGTACTACATATTAGGATTTAACGGAATATAAAAACATATTAAAGATAGATTTTTTAATTATTTAATAATTAATAGTTAACTTACATAACAATGACAAGTCTTGTCGGTCCTTAGAGGTTTTAGACCTCTAAGGATCGATTCCACCGTTGTGTTAAACGAAGTTTAAAATGACATTTTTACATTAACAATGTCATTTTAATCTCCGTTTAATACAACGATGGAATCGGTCCTTAAATAAATAAATATTTATGTTGAATTATTTATTTTTTATTTTAGATTTCTAGTAAAACCTACCAAACAGCAGTACAAGCCTGTGCAGGTTGAAAACAGTGATGCTCATGCGTCAACATCAAAGTCGGGTTTTGCTGTTGAAGTAGTAAGCACTAATACTGATAGTGAGGAAGGCGGAAATGACAGCAAAGACAACACTCTAAAGAAAAAAAGAAAATTGAATTATAATCAAAAATTCAGGCAGGATTGGCTCTCTGAGTTTAAGTGGCTAAATAATTCCTCTTCTAAATCAAAGTTAGGCCAGTCATTTTGCAAAGTTTGTAACAAGACTCTCACCAATAATTATTCCCATTTAAAAAGACATGAGCTCAACAAATACCACGAAAAAAAAATGAAAGCCGCAAAAATTTCAATTTCAATACCAGAGACTTTGTTGAACCATAGAGAGCCAGATAATCTAAAAACACAAAAAGAATGTGAATTAAAAATGCTGGCATTCATAGCAGAACATAATTTGCCCCTAAAATTAATGGATCATTTACCGGCATTTGTTAAGAATCTTTGCCAGGGCTCAAAAATAATAAAAAACGTTCAGTGTGGAAGAACCAAGGCAAACCTTATCACCAAGTATGCATTTGCTAATGAGCGCATAGCCCAAATTAGTGAAAAAATGAGGAAATCATTTTATTCGCTAATCATTGACGAAACTACAGACTTGGGGACAGTAAAAAGTTTAGTTATTGTTGTTAGGTTCGTAGATAATTATAAGGCTAAAGATCATTTTTTAGCTTTAACAGAATTAGAAAGTGCTAATGCGGAATCTATAACAGGTAAAATTTTGGAAATTTTAAATTTAAATAATGTTCCTCTAAATAATATGGTGGGACTCGCTGCAGACAACGCTGCCGTGATGATGGGCAATATAAGTGGCGTACAAGCTCGTTTAAAAGAACTAATGCCACACTTATTTGTCCTTGGTTGTACTTGCCACTCTTTTCACCTCTGTGCCTCGGCAGCGTGTCTTCAGCTACCCAAATCAATAGAGCACTTTGCCAGAGAAATTTACAATTATTTTAGTAATAGCCCCAAGAGATCCAAAGAGTTAGAAAAGTTTCAATCTTTTTTGCAAATCAAACCAAACAAAATGTTACGTCCAAGTCAAACTCGTTGGCTTTCTCTTGGAATCGTGGTTAAAAAAATTCTGGACAATTGGGCGCCATTAAAATTATATTTTCAAGGTGCTGTATTAGTAGACAAGTTACAGTCTTGCGAAACTATTTTAAATTCACTAAACAGTGGAATGTACAAATTATACTTTTATTTTTTAAATTTTGTTTTAGATTTAATTAATAAAATGAACCTAATTTTTCAGTCAGAAAAACCAAAGATAACGACTCTCTTTCAGAGCATCTGTAATCTTTATAAGGTACTTCTACGATGCTTTATAAAAAAAAGTGTAGTTGATTGTGCTCCTTTAAATGACATTGATCCGAAAAACAAAAAATTCAGCTAGACCCTTCATCTATGTATTTTGGGGCGTACGTTGAAGAATATATAGAAAAAAATAAAGATACTTTAACAGAAGATGATATACAAAGTTTTAAATATAAATGCTTGGCATTTTATACAGAGCTGTGTACTCAAATTAAAAATCGTTTTCGTTTTGATAACACATTATTAGAAAATTTAAACGTTTTAGAGCCAAAAATTGCGTACTCTGGCGACATTCCTAGCTTGACTAAACTTCTTAATTGCTTTCCTGTTTTAAAAGACAAAGTAAATATTGAAGAACTTAATTTAGAATGGAGAAGCATCCCTGACTTAAAAGAAATGAAAACACATTTAGATGACATAGAGACCTTTTGGTCTCTTTTGTTATGCCAAAAAGATGACAATAACGATTTTCAGTTTCCAAATTTAATAATTGTTACAACTTATGTTTTTTCTTTACCGCATTCCTCGGCGTCAGCTGAACGAATGTTTTCACAATTGTTTTTAATGAAAACTAAACCCAGAAATAGGTAACTTATTGAAACCTGTCAAAATTTATTACATACAAAATATTATGTATCAAACTGTAACAAGGTTTGTTATAATTTTACGCCAAACGACGAAATTTTAAAAAGAAACGTCGTCTATCCAAAACAAAACCAAGACACTGATTTACCAGATGCAGCACTAGCTGCACAACCTATTCAATACATCAACACTGGAACTGTCTAGTATGATCTGTATATTAGTTTTAGCCATACTCAGCATCTTATATTTAGATAATATATATTTTTAAAATATATGAATGTTTTTTTTAAGTTTTTAAAATCAGTTATTATTTTGTTTACTTTTTTAGAATTATATTTTTATTTTACATACGTTATTTTTTATTTTATCTTACTATTAAAATTTTTTATTTTAATATTATATTTTAGTTTTGTGTTGCAATAAAAAAAAACTAGTGCCAACGCCTTTTTTTTAAATAATAACCATTTTAAAAAATCTGCTACATTTTTGTCGGATCTACTACAATTTCGAGAGTCAACTACTAAATAATAAAAAAAAAATCTGGCAACTCTGAATATACCATCTATCTTCAGTACTGTGTGTTTCCTGTACTCATACACATCTTTTGGATTTAGAACTTATGAATACATATTGTCTTTAATGATTACTCCTGGTAAATAAGTCTATTCTGTTCTACTTTCACCTCTTCTTAATATTTTATGTTTCCAGTCACAATTATTTATAAATTACAACAAACTTACTTTCTTAATATTTCTAGCTACTTACTACAATTTTTGTATTAATAATCTAGGTTTTTTATTTGTTTCTTTATCGTTTTTTTTTTATTTTTCTTTTAGGGTCTAACAGATTTTGTACCCTCTTTACAAGAAGAAATATGGCTGCTTTTTTTCTACCTTTTCATTTGTTTCATCGACAAATTTTTAAAGCATTGATATTATAATTTTATGTTGGTACTAGTAGTTTTTACTTTCCTATCTGTATACAGATATAATTACTTTCCTATCTGTATACAGATATAAGGAAAGTATAGGAATCATGCTTTTTTTTGACCTCGAGTTTTAGACGGATTTTTACGTTTTGAGGTCCCCTGAATCCGTTTTGACTATTTTCGCGATGATGTCTGTGTGTGTGTGTGTGTGTGTGTGTGTGTGTGTGTGTGTGTGTGTGTGTGTGTGTGTGTGTGTGTGTGTGTGTGTGTGTGTGTGTGTGTGTGTGTGTGTGTGTGTGTGTGTGTGTGTGTGTGTGTGTGTGTGTGTGTGTGTGTGTGTGTGTGTGTGTGTGTGTGTGTGTGTGTGTGTGTGTGTGTGTGTGTGTGTGTGTGTGTGTGTGTGTGTGTGTGTGTGTGTGTGTGTGTGTGTGTGTGTGTGTGTGTGTGTGTGTGTGTGTGTGTGTGTGTGTGTGTGTGTGTGTGTGTGTGTGTGTGTGTGTGTGTGTGTGTGTGTGTGTGTGTGTGTGTGTGTGTGTGTGTGTGTGTGTGTGTGTGTGTGTGTGTGTGTGTGTGTGTGTGTGTGTGTGTGTGTGTGTGTGTGTGTGTGTGTGTGTGTGTGTGTGTGTGTGTGTGTGTGTGTGTGTGTGTGTGTGTGTGTGTGTGTGTGTGTGTGTGTGTGTGTGTGTGTGTGTGTGTGTGTGTGTGTGTGTGTGTGTGTGTGTGTGTGTGTGTGTGTGTGTGTGTGTGTGTGTGTGTGTGTGTGTGTGTGTGTGTGTGTGTGTGTGTGTGTGTGTGTGTGTGTGTGTGTGTGTGTGTGTGTGTGTGTGTGTGTGTGTGTGTGTGTGTGTGTGTGTGTGTGTGTGTGTGTGTGTGTGTGTGTGTGTGTGTGTGTGTGTGTGTGTGTGTGTGTGTGTGTGTGTGTGTGTGTGTGTGTGTGTGTGTGTGTGTGTGTGTGTGTGTGTGTGTGTGTGTGTGTGTGTGTGTGTGTGTGTGTGTGTGTGTGTGTGTGTGTGTGTGTGTGTGTGTGTGTGTGTGTGTGTGTGTGTGTGTGTGTGTGTGTGTGTGTGTGTGTGTGTGTGTGTGTGTGTGTGTGTGTGTGTGTGTGTGTGTGTGTGTGTGTGTGTGTGTGTGTGTGTGTGTGTGTGTGTGTGTGTGTGTGTGTGTGTGTGTGTGTGTGTGTGTGTGTGTGTGTGTGTGTGTGTGTGTGTGTGTGTGTGTGTGTGTGTGTGTGTGTGTGTGTGTGTGTGTGTGTGTGTGTGTGTGTGTGTGTGTGTGTGTGTGTGTGTGTGTGTGTGTGTGTGTGTGTGTGTGTGTGTGTGTGTGTGTGTGTGTGTGTGTGTGTGTGTGTGTGTGTGTGTGTGTGTGTGTGTGTGTGTGTGTGTGTGTGTGTGTGTGTGTGTGTGTGTGTGTGTGTGTGTGTGTGTGTGTGTGTGTGTGTGTGTGTGTGTGTGTCTGTATAACGCATAACTCACAGAAAAAACACCGTATTTTAAACTTAAGCTTTGTTTCAGCGTCCAATGAACAGATTAGATTTTGGGCAGAGTCGGAACATCTGGGGGGGTACTTTATAGGTGGTCATTTTTATATTTTATGGAATATATCTGTTATTTACGATTGGAGAAGAAAATTCTTCAAATAAAAGTTACTTCTAATATAATTATCTATAATTTTTGTTTTATGCAAAATTTTCCTAAAATGGTCCGTATTCAAGAAATTTGACAAAATGTAAAAAAAATAATTTTTTATAAAAATTGTTCAAATAAAAGTTACTTCTAATATTATTATCTATAATTTTTGCTTTATGTTAAAATTTCCTGAAATGGTCCGTATTCGAGAAATTTGACAAAATGTGCAAAATTCTGATTTTTATGAAAATTGTTGAACTAAAAGTTGTTTGCGATATCGATCTCTATAATTTTTGTTTATACATGATTTTTCTAAAATGGACCGTAATGGAAAAATTGTAGGAAAAGTGCTAAATTTAAATTTTTCAGTATTTTCGGTTTCAATGAATATCTATAGAAAAATGTTTCGAAGTAGATGTATGTGGACAATGTATATATTTAGTTTATCCTCTAAACATTTATAGAGATGCTGCAATAGGTTGTACAAGATAACCGGAAAAAGCCTATAATAACTAGATAGGAAAGTCATGTGTTGGACACATCAGATTTTTATTTTAAATTTCAAATAATTTGAATTTTAATAAAGGTATACATTATAAAACTTTGACCACAGCAATAATATTGTAAAATATCGCAAATAATAATAAATAAAACCAAAATAACCTTACCTTTATAAGAAATTAAATAATTAGGTTGAGATAACGTTCGATAGTCAATACTGTGTATGTAAGTGAACATAAATCTATTTTGTAAACTGAATAATTACGTTAAAGACCATTACGCTTTAAGCTGTCACTATGGTAATTTAATAAAGTTTTTAGCATCCATCTACATCACAGTTATGATTCATTACATAATAAAATAAAATTTTAAAAAAAGAATCTTGTAAAAAAATACTTTATCTTGTTCACACATCTCCAACATTCTCTACAAGCAAAAAACCTGAAAATTTTCCGGACTTATAACAAAGGCAATTCAATCTTCGCCAATTGTTTTAAGTTGCGTGCGGTACAAACTTCCACTATTCTCTGCAGCCGTCGAATATTGTTCTAGCCTAGCGAATAATACAAACCCGAATCAATTGGGTGGAAACATCCAATGGTCGTATGTAATGAATAAAGCACTTCTATATTCTGGAATGTATTCGAGAATGATGTAAAATTGCATTGTTTTCTTTTTTGTTTAGGTCACTGATTGTTGGAGAGAAATCAATTGTACGGCGAGGCTGTATCATCAATTTATATAGGATGGTTGAAAAAAAAACACTAGTAATTTTACGCAGTCAATGTCATCAAGTATATGACGGTGGATGAGAACTTGGTAGTAGGAGCTAAGAATACTTATTTGTTTAACTATAGGGAGACAAATGATAGTTTTGTTCAAATTACTGTTCCCACTCTCCACATCTCTTATATGATAAAATAGAAGGGGATTATTCCAAACAAAAATATACAGAATATCCGAAAAATTCCAATTTTCATATTTTTAGAAGCCCTTAAGTTGGTAAATTTTGCAAAAATATTCATCAGCTTTATTTTCAGATTACATTATCAAAAGAATCGTAATTATATTACCCGCAATAAAGAGATTTAATTTAGTTATGTTTCCTTATTATATAATTGGATTACAGAAGGAATATTACGTATTCCATGGTTGTCTCATCTCTAAGGAAATCTGATGTCAACATTGTTTCGGTGCTGTGAGGTTTTGAATATGGGAAGCGTCGAGAAATATTAGGAGGTGACACAACTCTCTTTTGTGGCACTTTTGCTTATTCGTGCCAGCGTAGCACAGAAAATTGGAACCTTCGATAGTGGATATTTTTGTGATTTAAATGCTATTATTTTCTCATTGATAATAATGTAACACTTTTACATTTAACGAATTTATTCATTTAATAAAAATACATGTGTGATTAGGATATAAATAGTTTATAACCGAACTGGGTGAAGTACCAAAGCTCTATATCTGGCTGATGTTCGATACGAAGTCGGGACTCGTTCGCGCACAGCACATAACTCAGTCCGCGATGCTGGCGCAATTTTAAAACGTTTGATGCGCGGTAAATTTAAATTATTCCGAAATTCACCATAGCCGGCGACCTTGAAAGTGTCCAGTACTTTCAATAAACAAAATAAAAAATATATATATATACTTAAGACTATTAAAAAATAAAATAAATTGTCATTTTGATTAGTCAATAATTGGAAGTGGACAAAGTTTGTTTATAGCACGTTTTAAAATTCCACTTTGTGTTTTTACGTTCACTACCCGTACAATATTGTCATTCCCAGGAAACACTTCTGTAATTCGTCCAGTTTTCCACAGTAAAGGTGGTAGATTATCTTCCTTCAATAGAACTAAAGTTCCAATCATTGGAATGTCGCAGTTTTGTGTAGTCCATTTGTGACGCTGTTGAAGTTGATGTAGGTATTCTCTTGACCACCGGGACCATAAGTTTTGTGTCATGCGTAGAAGCCTTTGATAAAGTTTTAAACGATTCTCAGGTATATGCTGTATATCCATTTCTGACACAGTGTTAAGGGGTTCTCCAATCAAAAAATGCCCAGGGGTAAGAGGTAATAAATCATTAGGATCATTGGATAAGGCTGCTATGGGTCTAGAATTTAGGATTGCTTCAACAGTTGTTAGGACAGTATAAAAACTTTCGTAATTTATTTTTGATTCACCAAGAATTCTAACTAAATGTACCTTCATTTGTTTTATTGAAGATTCCCAAAGACCACCAAAATTGGGTGCATGAGGAGGAATAAAGTGCCAATTAATAAAGTTATCCAATAGAAAATTTCTAATATTATTTTCGCTGACTAAATTGGATATATGTGTTTTTGATTTTTTAAAAAGGTTATTTGCTCCAATGAAATTAAGGCCATTGTCACTGTATAAATTTTTACAAATGCCACGTCGGGCTATGAATCTTTTAAGGCAATTAAGAAAAGTTTCTGACATCAAGTCACCTGCCAATTCTAAATGAATTGCTTTAGTTGTGAAGCATGAAAAGGCAAATGTAAACCTTAACAAATTTTGCATTTCTTAATGTCCCATCCTTTATCAAAAAAGGACCAGCGAAATCTACGCCACTGGTTAAAAATGGTCTTGTTGGTGTGATACGTTGAGAGGGTAAATTACCCATGAAAGGTAAATACGTTTTAGGTTTTACTTTATAACATTTAATGCATTTTCTCAAAATTCCCTTTATAGCGTTTTTAGCGTTTATTGGCCAAAATTTTGTTCTAATTTTTGATAGAACGGTCTGAACTCCTCCGTGTAAAGTAATTTCATGTTCATAAGTGATTAAACTTTTTGTAAATTCGTGATTGCTTGGTAATAACATGGGGAATTTTTTGTCATAATGTATATCAGCTTGACTTAATCTGCCACCGACTCTTAATATGTTTTCAGGATCCAAAAATACATTAAGAGATAATAATTTACTTTTTTTTGATAATCTAGATTTAGTTTTTAAATCAGATATTTCTTTATTGAAACATGATGTTTGCGCAATTTTAACTAAGGTTTTGATTGCGTTGTCAAGTTCAAATGGTTTTAGATCACCACTTATTTTATTCATTTTAGAATATTTGATAGGCTTAATATTATTTATAAATCTTAGACAAAATGCAGTTACGTTTCTTAATTTTTTAAAATCAGAAATGCGTGAGAATATAGGATCTAAATTAATACTAAAATGTGATGATATTTTAATTCTTTTCATTTCAAGAACGTTTTCATTACTAAATTGTAAATGTTGTGAATTGTTAAATTGATCAGTACTGCTGTGCAGAAAGTCCGGACCTGACCACCAAAGCTGATTATTTATTAGATCGTTGACGCTTGAGCCTCTCGTAATTAGGTCACTAGGATTTTCTGATGATGCGACGTGAAGCCAAGTACAATTATTAGAAGTTAAGCGTGATATTTCTGCGACTCTGTTAGCCACAAAAGTTTTCCAATGTGACGGTTCACGGGAGAGCCAAGATAAAACAATTGTTGAATCTGTCCATAAATATATATTCGTAAAATTAATATTTATACATTTTAAAACTTTGTTAACTAATTTAGATAAAAGCAATGCTCCACACAATTCTAATCTTGGTAATGAAAGAACCTTTAATGGGGCAACTCGAGACTTAGCGCATAAGAGGTAACTGTGATAATTTTCTAAATCACCTTCTGTTCGTAAATATATACAAGCGCCATAGGCGGACTCTGAGCTGTCAGAAAACCCATGCAGTTGTATATTTGTATAATTATTTTTAATTATATGGCGTGGTATTTTTACATTATTCAAACATTTTAAACCATTCATAAAATTGATAAAATTTACATAAATGTCTTGAGAGACAGCTTCATCCCAAGTTAATTGAAGCTTCCAAATATTTTGCAACATGATTTTAGCTTGTATAATGACAGGAGTAATGAGTCCTAAAGGATCGAATATTTGTGAAACAATCGACAACATTGTGCGTTTTGTGATTTTACTCTTTTGAATGTTTTCATTTATTGAATATTGAAAGGTGTCTGTTGTTGGATTCCACAATATGCCTAAAGTTTTAACAGTTTGATCTTCATCTATTATATAATTTTTCATTTGTGATTGTTCATAGGTGTTTAAAAGTTCTAATCGATTTGACATCCATTGAGTTAGGGGAAATCCGTGCATTTCTAGCACACTAGATATGTCAGATTTCAATTTTTGACAAGAATTTATGTTGTCAGTACCGGTAATTAAATCATCGACATAAAAATCGGTTAAAATAATTTTACAAGCATTAGGATACGTATTCATTTTATTGTAAGCAGCTTGATGCAATGATCGTATTGCCAAAAAGGCAGCAGGACCAGTACCGTATGTAACAGTATTTAATTGATAATGATTTAATTCTTGTGTTTTGTTTTCGCGCCATAAAATTCGCTGTAAATTTCTTTGTTTTGGTTCGATATAAACCTGTCTATACATTTTAGTTATATCGGCCTTTAAGACAACTGAATATTTTCTAAATCGAATTAATATAGAAAACAAATCGTCTTGTATAGTCGGACCCACATATAAAACGTCATTTAGTGATAAGTTTGAGGAACTCTTATTTGAGCCATCAAATACTACCCTTATTTTTGTCGAAACACTGCTATTTTTAAATACGCCATGATGGGGCAAGTAAAATAATTTATCAGAAATATCTATTTCATGTTCTTTGAGTTTGGTCATGTGATTAAGTGCTTCAAATTCTCGCATGAAATTTGAATATGCTTTTCCAAATTCTGCATTTAAATGAATTCTTTTTTCTAACTGAAAGAAACGTTTTTTGGCACTTTCGAATGATTCACCTAAATCAATATAATTTGGTTTAGTAGGCAATGAAACAACGAAATGATTGTTTTCAAATTTAAAATTATCAGTGAAATGTTTTTCACAATATTGGTCATCTTTATTTAATATAGTATTGTGTTCAGAAATTTCCTCGACTGACCAGAATTTCTCTAATGTATTTTGAATTTGTTCGTTGGAGTTTGTTTTCTTGTTTACTGCTAAAAGGCAATGTTCACCATAGCTGGCCTTCATTGGGCCTGAAATTATCCAACCAAGATGTGTTTTTTGCATAGTAGGCTGGTTTGGACCTAATTTAATCTGTCCAATACACAATAAATCGAAAAATATTTGTGCGCCTAATAACAAATCAATTTTTTGTGATTTATTGAACTCTGGGTCAGCCAAAGTAAGATTTTGTGGAATATTTAAATAATCGATTTTAAATGTTTCACCCGGTAAATAATTAGTGATATTATCTAACACGAGGAAAGTAAGTTGCCGATCAAAACCATTGTGCACTGATTTTATTTTAGTATTGACACCATTTGATATTTGTGTAATTGATTGATTCACGCCAGAAATTGGTATATTAATTTTAAATGGTTTTAATTGCAATTTGTTAACTAAATCACTGGTAATAAAATTGCTTTGACTGCCTGAGTCCAGCAAACATCGAACCTTAATGGGTTGTTTATTTTTACAATATATTAAAATTTCAGCTGTAGATAATAATATTTGAGATTTATTAGGTTGTGATGAATGAGTTGAAATTATGTTGGAATTTTCATTCTGTATATTATTTACATTCGTGTCCGATTGAATTTCAGAATGTCCTCGAGTTATATGGCTATTAGAAATGGGTCGAAAGTCGTTAAGATGAAGTAATGTGTTATGTTTTTTATTGCAGCGTCTGCAAGCAGATGTTGATAGACATTCGTTTGAAAAGTGATTTGAACGTAGGCAATTTATACATAATTTATGTTTTTTCACTTCTTTTAATCTATCGGGTATAGCTAAGTCTAAAAATGTCTTACATTGATAAACAAAATGTGTTTGGCCACAAATAATGCATTTCGTTTTATTTGTTGAAAAATGCACTAATGTTTTATTTTCTGTTATTTTATTAAATCTTTTGTTTGGAAGAGAATGATTATCGGAAACTTTGATTTGATTCGTGATAGCATTTTCAATAACTTTTAATCTAGATTTTAAAAATTTCTCGAATTTTTCTATTGTTGGTAATGTTTCATTATTATTAGTTGTTTTCTCTTGTTCAATATTTGCTTCCCATGCGATTTTTGTGGTTTGATCTAATTTTGATTCGAATAAGTATAACATGACATTATCATCAATAAATGGTAAAAGGTCTTT